AATTATGAGATTTGAATGTTCAATTGGCAAGGTAAAATTATGAGGATTGGCAATTTTAATTTCACTATAATTCGATTTACCTTTTTGTTTAGAGTGAAATTCATCGGTACGTTTTCACTGCAAACAGACTATAAGGGCTGGAGGAAATCCGAATGTCGAAAAGAGCCATCACGTAGGGCTCGAGGAAATCCGAATGTCGAAAAGAGCCATGACTTATGACTCGAATAAATCCGAATGTCGAAAAGAGCCATGAATTTCGTTTCTTCATCCGAGGTTACTGACCTCGAACAGAAGCAGTCCGAGCGGGGTCGGTGACTAAAGCCGTGCTACACTGATTAGTTTGGTTTCCGGCACATTTATCTATCATTTGAAGTTAAGTATACGTGATTGATTGCGTGCTACGCTGAAACTGAAGTCAACACGACCACCTGTCCTAACGTCTAAATCTCGCTCACGTGACTTCGCCATTTTATTCTCTCTACCAACAAATAAATGTGTAGATGGACGTTTCAGAGTGGCAGTCGTGAGGTGAACATAGACAGGATTCCTCGTCCCTAACTCCTCCTTCAGTGAGTGAGTGAGTTTAATTTTACGCCGATTAGCAATATTCTAGCAATATCACGGCGAGGGACACCAGACATGGGCTTCATACATTGTACCCATGTGAGGAATCGAATCCGGGTCTTCGGCGTGACAAGCGAACGCTTTAACCGCTAGGCTCCCCCGCCACCTCAACTTCTTCTTCTACAGAGTCTATGTTTAATTTGATTGTTTTTAAAGAAACATAGTAAATGTTAACAAACATGCTCACAATACCTGACAGAATATACTTGATTTCTCAACTCCCCGAGAAGTATTACCCACAGGTAAACAATATGAATAAGATCCACATCTTTTATTGAACCGTCGAGATTATGTACACGTTACTTAATGTAAATAGGCCTGGCGATCTCAAAGGTCGCTCATGAAATATACTCATGAGCAAAAGAAACTTTCTCTTGCAAAAGTTTTCATAATATTAACATAAGAAAATATAATCAAATGCAAACTGCCCCATAGTTATTGCGAACAACAAGGGTTCGATTCCGACCAACATCAGCGCTCAAACGCACCTCTTGACAACTTTGCATCGAAAACAGCAAAATGCAAGTGTTTTGCAAGTAAGGGTAAAATGCACGTGAAAGCATGGTATAAAATTACCTCACAGCACAGAGCAGATCATACTTCAGCAGAAAACTACTTTACAATGCCGAGGTTAACTTCAGCAGAGCGAGAGAGGGCCATCGGAATGCTGCAAATGGGCGCTACAACGGGTCACGTTGCAAGAACCTTCAATTGCTCCGTCGTGACCGTCAGGAACCTTCGTCGGCGCTACCAACAAACTGGTCAGACCTCAGACAGGCCCAGACAGGCAGACCCCGGGTGACAAATGCGCAGGAAGACCGAAACCTCAAGATGTTACACCTTAGAAACTGCTTCCTGACGGTAACGTCATCAGCGTCAACAGCACTCGGTCACCCAGTGAGTCGAAGGATAGTGTCAAGGAGACTACGGGCCTATGGTATCAGGGCCTACCGACCGTACCGAGGGAGGCTGCTGACAGACATGGTCGCTCGAGTTGTCCAGAACTTCTTTCACGCCAACAACGTCAACGTCCTGCCATGGCCTGTACGCACTCATGACATGTCGCCAATCGAGCACGTATGGAACCATCTTGATCCACCAGTTACAGTACAGCAAATGACTCAAGCCCTTGTCGAAGAATGGAGGCGAATCCCAGCTGACGTCATCAGACGCCTCACAACTTCAGTCAGAAGAAGTGTGTGTGCATGTATTCTATCCAGAGGTGGACAAACTCGCTATTACAGACTTCTGTTCACGCTTTGCTGTTTCCCGAATGGACCCACTGATCGTGAATTCTCTAGTTTGACCCCATGTCGACCATTACCTGTTCAATAAGTTATCAGCCTTGTTAAAAAAACGTTTGTACTTAGCACGTGCCTATGTCATTGTTTCACAAATTATAAATTGCAAACTTCGATTTCTTGTTGTTGTTTTTAAGTGAGATCAAATTGAACGAGGAGAACGTTTCTTTTGCCCGTCAGTATATTTACCTGACTATGTGTATGTCGACATTCATGATAGTACTGAAGTACAATCTCAAATAACAGTGAAACAATGGGCTGATGTAACCAGATAAGTGTATGAAATAGACACGTGGATGAAACAGTAAATATGAAATATGAAACCAAATATTCAATAAAACTCTAGACAAATATATAAAACCTCTGTGAAAGAATTACTGAAGAAGTCAACATTACTGGATAAGTCAATATTACTAAATAAGTCAATATTACTGGATAGGTCAATATTACTGAATAAGTCAATATTACTGAATAAGTCAATATTACTAAATAATTCAATATTACTGGATAAGTCAATATTACTGGATAAGTCAATATCACTAAATAAGTCAATATTACTGGATATGTCAATATTACTGAATAAGTCAATATAACTGGGTAGACCACTATTACTGGATATGTCAACATTACTGGATAGGTCAATATTACTGAATAAGTCAATATTACTGAATAAGTCAATATTACTGGATAGGTCAATATTACTGAATAAGTCAATATTACTGGATAAGTCAATATTACTGAATAAGTCAATATTACTGAATAAGTCAATATTACTGAATATGTCAATATTACTGGACTGGTCAATATTACTGAATAAATAAATATTATTGGATGAGTCAATATTATTGGCTAATTCAATATTACTGAACAAATAAATATTACTGATACAAATAAATATTAGTGAATAAAACAAAATTACCTGGTAAATCAGTATTTCCAGATAAATCAGCATTACTCGGTAATCAGTATTGCTTGATTAATCAGCAGGGTAAATCAATGCCACTAGATTATTCAAAATTACAATAGAAATCACTGTTGCTTGATTTGTAAATATAACGTTTAATCAATACGACTACATCAGTCAGTATAGCGGGGAAGCCAGTATTACTGTTTAAATCGATACTTCCGGGTTAATAACTATTACTGGATTAATATCTGGATGAATCGATATTCTACCATGAATTCGGTAAATACTGGATTGTGATTGGTGAATTAAAGTCAGTCAGAGGTATATAATCACGTTACATACCTCTGATTTTCCAACACAGTATGTATTTCTTTTAAACCTTAATAACGCGGCTATGGTCGAGTGAGGTTTTAAAAAAATACTTTAGAGCTATTATAATTTCGTTATATAACTCTGATTTTCCAACACAGTATGATTATCTCCTAATTAAATCATCCTCAATACTATGGGTAAGTCTTTATCATCATCTCAGTGACTGTATGAATGTTGTATTGTGTTGTTTTCTCATAAGGTTTCTAAAACTGAAAAATAGTTGCAATCAAATGATAATATCAGTGTGTCATATATATCCAGGCATAGGGGGGGCCTTGGGAGCAACGCCTGTATCAACTTGAAAGACGTGCCCTCCGGGTGAGATTTAAGTTGAGCAGCTTTAGCGGTAGATTATTCTTAATGTTCCATTAGGTGCAAGTGATTCATAAATGGGATTGGGTTCATACATAAATAAATATTAAGGCAAGATTGGAACAAATCATTGTGGGGATATTCTTGGTGTTTCTTGCTTGTTTTGTTTTTACGACTGTGGTGACTGCGGAGAAAATAAGGGACATTGAGAAAGTGAGAAAAAAAGCCGCAGACACACTAGTGGTGGTCCGATTAATTGAAATAATCGAAGATTGGTCACAATGACTAAACGACCAAGCAATCGATCATGTTTTCTCATAATCGAACACAAACAATTTTGGAACACTTATTTTGCTTTAACAATATTTTTTCAGAAGGTTGTTTTTGTCTGTTTTTGTCTGTTAAATTTCAAAAGCACAATCAGCTCGTTCCAAGTCAGGATTGAATTTATCTTAAAGACTCCAAGAGCTTTAGGTTCCTAACATACTAATCATCCTTTAAAGATGTAAAATTTGCAAATGCATTTAGGCAATTTGCAAAAAACTCGAAAGAACGACACATTTTTTCTTTATTTTTTGTGCATTAAGAAACATAATCAGGAATATTTGATAAATGACGAGAACCAATTATTTTCGATGATTGATCGGTTGTGATGAACCAATCATCAATTATGAGATGTAAACACTAAGACACACAGGGAATAGACATCCCGAGAGTACGTCTAAGGTGGTTCTGTGTGTGAATTAACACTTGGTTTCGGCAATGTTTCAGCCATGACGACATTTCTAATGAAAAAGCAATAGTTCGCTTCCAGAATAATTAATGTTTGATTTAACGAATGAAACGATGCCTGCTTCTGTATGTGGTTACGCAGTGTCGAAATAAATGTGTATATAGGCAAGTTTTTCGACAGTCATTTTTTGATGAATTAATGGGTGAATTAACAAACCAAATGAAAACTGTTTAGGGAATGAGCAATATTCAGCTCCAACGATATTTATAATTGATAAGGCGATACAGCTGTAGAAAGCTCCAATATTACTCTTAACTGTTACGCTTTCAGAATTTGTGACATTCTGGCAGGTGCATCCTTAAAACAATTTTTCCGATTTCGAATCCCATAAATGCTGTCATTGCGATTCTTGGTTTATCAGCTCCCTTGTGTGTAGACTTCATGCCTCGATACAACTGAAGAACTGTTTAAAGCGGCGTAAAACACCACTCACTCATATAAACAAAATAAGTGTGCGAGTGAGTGACTTTAGTGTTACGCCGCTTTTAGCAATATTACGGCTGGGGACACCAGAAATGGGCTTCACCCATTGTACTTCATGTGGGGAATCAAACCCTTGTTTCGGCGTGACGAACGAACGCTTTAACCACTAGGCTACCCCACCGCCCCCAAATAAGTACAAGTAATTAAGTTGACACAGGTAAGATATTGATCATAATTGTTAGTAATTGTCTGATATCTCTGTTTGCAGCTTTCATCGGTTCGTGCATGAACGGGGTCATGTTCTTCATGTGTTGTGTGTCCGGCATACTCTGTGACGTCATCGGATTACGTCACACGGCTCTGATTGGCGGTGTTCTCTGCGTGTCGGGGTTTCTCTCGAGCGCCTTCGTGACCCAGCTGGAACTGCTTTACCTCACCTATGGGGTAATCCTCGGGAGCGGCTTTGGCCTCGTCTTCTCTCCAATGGTGGCCATTACAGGGCATTATTTCAAGAAAAACCTCGGCCTTGTCAACGGCATTGTCACCTTTGGCGCGTCGGCCTTCACCGTCGCAATGTCGTTCTCTCTACCCTACATACTTGGCTACTTCGGACTTAAGGTGACCTTGATATGTTATGCTGGCCTTGGAGTGACCTTGACCTTGTGTACAGTTGCATGGAAACCTCTGATCACGCGAGAATATTTAAGTCATAGCAGTACCAACGGGAGCACAAGTCATTTGAAGAGGTGTTTAAGTTTCATGTCTTGGAAAGTCTTGAACGGACGTGTTTGGAAGAACAGACAGTTCGTCACGTGGTGTATTGTTCTGTCCGTCAGTCGGTTTGGTTACCTAGAGCCGTACTTCCACATGGTGAGTCGACGAGTGAGTGAGTGAGTGAGTTTAGTTTTACGCCGCGTTTAGCACTGTTCCAGCAACATCACGGCGGGGGACACCAGAAATGGACTTCACACATTGTACCCATGTGGGAAATCGAACCCGCGTCTTCGACGTGACGAGCCACTAGGCGTTAACCACAAGGCTACCTCACCGCCACGGTGAGTCAGTGAGGTAGGGGACTATGTACTGTTATCTATGTTTGTTTGTTAACACTTGTTTATGATACCCTTTTTGCTATTATGTGCCCAAATTCGAAATGGCTGAAAACTAGATCACGGACCAAAGAATGAATCGGCTCCATTCTTGAATCGCTGTAGATTGTAAGCTATTTGAAATTAAACTTCATTTATCAGATGTTCCATGACAAACACTGTAACCGCCCTCTCAAGTTGATACAATCTATCTCAGAATGACACATTTTTGGCACTCCTCTGACAACTGCTACATTTTAGATTCCCATTTTTTGTCATAGAATTTCAGTGAAAATTAAGTTTAAACTCTCCATTATAGCTGCAGGAGAGATTTTCCATGAGAAACATTAACCGGCCTCTCAAGTTGACACATTCTGTCTAAAAATGACACATTTTGGCACTCGACTGACAACTGTCACTTTTTCTAGATCTGCTGAATTTTATAAAATTTAAAATTTAGCCTCATAGATTATAAACAATTTTAAATCAACCTTTCATATCAGATAATCCATGTCAAGCACAGTCATCGAACTCTCAGATTGACACGCTCAGATTCTGAATGACACATGTTTGCACTCGACTAATAAACGTTACTTTCTCAAGACATTCTCGGCCCCATTTCACAAAGCTCTCGTAAGCCTATGATCTCGTTGCATTTGTACCTCCTATACTGTAACATTAACTTACGATTGTCGTAGCGTTGCGAGAGCTTTGTGAAACGGGGCCCTTGATTTTATAGAATTTTGTGAAATTAAGTGTTGATTTTGTAACGTAAATATTTATATTATAAACAATTTTCAATCAGCCTTACATATCAGATATTCTGACAAGTACAGTAATTGTCCTCTCAAAATGATGCAGATATAATTTCCATTCAATGTTGCAGGTCAACCACGTGGCCTATATTCTACCGGGTACCCATGTCAGTATTCTCATCACCATCATGGCGGCCGTGTCGGGTGTGTTCAAACTCGTGGTGGGGAAGTTATCCGACTTGTTAAGCCAATACAGGATATATCTCCAGCAGGGGGCGCTATTTGTCTATGGCGTCATCGTCATCTGCATTCCATTCAACCACACCTTCCCAGGGTTCATTGTAATCGCCGTCGCTCTAGGATTGGCGGACGCTGTTATAATGGTTTTGTTTGGACCAAACGCTATCGATCTGGTCGGGGCCGGAAATGCTTCCCAGGCAATTGGATTTTCCTCCCTCCTCTCTATTCCGACATTCCTGTCAGCACCCGTTATTACAGGTACATCCTCTCTTGATTGACTGTTGTTTAACGCCGCACTCAGCAATATTCCAGCTGTATGGCGGCGGGCTGTAGATAATCGAGTCTGGACCAGACAATCCAGTGATCAATATCATGAGCAACGATCTACGTAATTGGGAACCGATGACATGTGTCGGCGAAGTCAGATATCCTGAGCACCCGATCCCGTTAGTCGCCTCTTACGACAAGACCAATTCTAACCCTGATCTTTACCGGTCTATGTCTACTGGATTTTGCATACATTCGATATAATACTTATTTCAGTGGACGAAAGAACGTGTTAGATATGACGTCGTTTAGGACATTATTCTAATCACATCCATGAGCTTCAGCTTTATTTTAAAGTATATAGAGGATATTATATGAGTGCCCATGTTATACTATGTTTACGACACGAGTGCCTAAATGTTGGTATTTAGGCATTTAGGATATACCGATATTCAGGCACGAGTGTCGTAAACATAGTATGATATGGGCACGAATATAATATTCTGTTTATTACCGAGGTCGTCAAATTGAGGAAAATAAACTCAAATCTACTTTCAAACATAGGCGTCGCCGCATGTAGAACGCAACGTCACAGAAGAAACGTGTCGTCATAACATTGTTCATGACGTCACGTCACCATAACAAGGTGATATTTTGCCCGAGGGCATCGTCTGAAAAATATGAACCCCGATATTTTCGCCACCGTAGGTAATAAACAAATGTATTTGTCCGGACGTTTCGTTGGGGTGAATATACTACGAACTCACGACCACCTGATAAGACATTAGACCACTGGACAACCTCAACTGTATCCCAGCAATATCATGACGGCTTGTAAATAATTGATTATGACAGACATGGTGCAACGTCAGCGACATGAACGGCATGTTGTACAACTGCGCACAATCAGCCAAGTCACAGAGCGGAATTCCACTTACCACGTGCCGGATGAGTCAGCATCTCCCTCAGAGGGGATTCCCCATGGCGTCCAGCACATAGCAACCTATACGACCGACTGTACATGGTATGGTGACATAACCCTTTCTTGTTATTATGTATTTATAATATAGGCATGTTGGACACTGGAAACATAATGACATTTCTACTCCAGGCGCCATGCACGACCAGCTAAAGTCCTACAACCCTGGCTTCCACTTGACAGGGGCGATAACTCTGGTCGCATCTATCTTTATGTTCCTGGTGAAGAGTCCATTTCAAAGGCAACTTAGAGTGTACAAGGTAACAAGAACAGGTTACAAAGGTTGAACGAACAGATTAATAAGGACAAGCTTACACAGGCAGGTTGAGCAGTACAAGTTTTCAGATGCCGGTTAGAAAGTACATATTGGCATTAGCTTAATTTAGCTGAGATATGCTTCCTGTTATGTGGCTCAATGGTATGACTGTCACTGGTTTGCCTACTCAGGCCTGCCTAACGTGTTTAAATCCGCTGTAATTTAGCTGAGATGCGCTTACTGTGATGTGGCTCAATGGTATGACTGCTGCTGGATTACCTGCTCAGGCCTGTCTAACGTGTTTAAATCCGCTGTAATTTAGCTGGGATGCGCTTACTGTGATATGGCTCAATGGTATGACTGTTGCTGGATTACCTGCTCAGGCCTGTCTAACGTGTTTAAATCCGCTGTAATTTAGCTGAGATGCGCTTACTGTGATATGGCTCAATGGTATTACTGTTGCTGGATTACCTGCTCAGGCCTGTCTAACGTGTTTAAATCCGCTGTAATTTAGCTGGGATGCGCTTACTGTGATGTGGCTCAATGGTATGACTGTTGCTGGATTACCTGCTCAGGCCTGTCTAACGTGTTTAAATCCGCTGTAATTTAGCTGAGATGCGCTTACTGTGATATGGCTCAATGGTATGACTGTTGCTGGATTACCTGCTCAGGCCTGCCTAACGTGTTTAAATCCGCTGTAATTTAGCTGAGATGCGCTTACTGTGATGTGGCTCAATGGTATGACTGTTGCTGGATTACCTGCTCAGGCCTGTCTAACGTGTTTAAATCCGCTGTAATTTAGCTGGGATGCGCTTACTGTGATGTGGCTCAATGGTATGACTGTTGCTGGATTACCTGCTCAGGCCTGTCTAACGTGTTTAAATCCGCTGTAATTTAGCTGGGATGCGCTTACTGTGATATGGCTCAATGGTATGACTGTTGCTGGATTACCTGCTCAGGCCTGTCTAACGTGTTTAAATCCGCTGTAATTTAGCTGAGATGCGCTTACTGTGATGTGGCTCAATGGTATGACTGTTGCTGGATTACCTGCTCAGGCCTGTCTAACGTGTTTAAATCCGCTGTAATTTAGCTGAGATGCGCTTACTGTGATGTGGCTCAATGGTATGACTGTTGCTGGATTACCTGCTCAGGCCTGCCTAACGTGTTTAAATCCGCTGTAATTTAGCTGAGATGCGCTTACTGTGATGTGGCTCAATGGTATGACTGTTGCTGGATTACCTGCTCAGGCCTGTCTAACGTGTTTAAATCCGCTGTAATTTAGCTGAGATGCGCTTACTGTGATATGGCTTAATGGTATGATTGTGACTGGTTTGCCTGCTCAGGCCTGCCTAACGTGTTTAAATCCGCTGTAAGGAGGCTGAGATAAGCTCAGTGATATGACTGTCACTGGCTACTCAGACCTGACTACATGTCCGCAGTAAGAGCGCTGAGATAGGCTTCCAATAGTCTGAAATTCACTCACGAACAGAACATCTACATTTGTAACATATATAAATCATATGATGTTAATATGTTTTCCTAGATCACTCCAACTAAGCCTCAGCCAATCAGCCATGGTCCAGTGTCACGTGACGAGGGTTCTGGAAACGTCAATGGCGGCGTTCTAAACGAGGGTTTCACCGAAGATGGCGTCTGTGGCCAAGACAGTGTTCAAACTAGGTTGTAGTGGCAGAAGAAAGTGTTCAACCTAAGTTGTAATGGCTGCAGAAAATATTCAGACAAGGTAGTAATGGAAGAAAGTAGGTTGTACGATGAAGGTTGCTGCGGTATGTACTGTATCTTACCCCCAGCCACACTTACTGCAATACTGCTCAACAGCCAAAACATTTATTCGAACGTCCATCTTACAACCATCCTTCTTGTGGATCCAGGACCATTACAGCTTACACGTTGTGTCCTTGACACTTAAAACAGATGGTTGAGTGAGCAGAAAGAGTTCCAAAGCTTGTGAATTCTGGGCTCAGATCTCAGACAGTAGTGTATGTGGAGAGAGCTTAAAGACCCTGTCAACAGATGTGCTTAGTTCGAGCTTCACAACTTGTGTTATGGACCCTGTCAACAGACGTTTGTGTAGAGACAGCTTCACAACTTGTGTTATGGACCCTGTCAACAGATGTTTGTCTGTAGAGACAGCTTCACAACTTGTGTGTCCAGGACCCTGACAACACATATTTGTGTGTAGAGACAGCTTTACAACTTGTGTGTCCTGGACTGACAACAGATATTTGTGTGTAAAGACAGCTTCACAACTTGTGTGTCCAGGACTGACAACAGATGTTTGTCTGTAGAGACAGCTTCACAACTTGTGTGTCCAGGACCCTGACAACAGATGTTTGTGTGTAGAGACAGATTCACAACTTGTGTGTCCAGGACCCTGACAACAGATATTTGTGTGTAGAGACAGATTCACAACTTGTGTGTCCAGGACCCTGACAACAGATGTTTGTGTGTAGAGACAGCTTCACAACTTGTGTGTCCAGGACCTGACAACAGATATTTGTGTGTAGAGACAGCTTCACAACTTGTGTGTCCAGGACCCTGACAACAGATGTTTGTGTGTAGAGACAGCTTCACAACTTGTGTGTCCAGGACCCTGACAACAGATGTTTGTGTGTAGAGACAGCTTCACAACTCGTGTGTCCAGGACCTGACAACAGATGTTTGTATGTAGAGACAGCTTCACAACGTGTGTGTCCAGGACCCTGACAACAGATGTTTGTGTGTAGAGACAGCTACACAACTTGTGTGTCCAGGACCCTGACAACAGATGTTTGTGTGTAGAGACAGTTTCACAACTTGTGTGTCCAGGACCTGACAACAGATGTTTGTGTGTAGAGACAGTTTCACAACTTATGTGTCCAGGACCTGACAACAGATGTTTGTGTGTAGAGACAGCTTCGCAACTCGTGTGTCCAGGACATTGACAAAAGATAAGTTTGTGTGCAGAGAATTGTTATACCCACTGATGTGAATATTTCCTGCTATACACTAAATATTCTTCTTAATACTCATTGATGTTAACATTTCCAGTTTTAATCAAAGATATTATATCCTGTTTTAACATTATGATAATGATATTCCTGTTATCCTCATTGATATACTCAATGACAATAATAATAATTCCTGTTATACTCAATGACAATAATATTCCTGTTATACTCAGTGACAGTAATATTCTTGTTATGCTCAATGACAATAATGTTCCTGTTATACTCAATGACAATAATATTCCTGTTATTCTCAATGACAATAATATTCCTGTTATAGTCAATGACAATAATATTCCTGTTATACTCAATGACAATAATATTCCTGTTATACTCAGTGACAGTAATATTCCTGTTATTCTCTGTGACAATAATATTCCTGTTATACTCAATGACTATAATAAAAATTCATGTTATTCTCAATGACAATAATATTCCTGTTATGCTCAATGACAAGAATATTCCTGTTATGCTCAATGACAATTATATTCCTGTTTTACTCAATGACAATAATATTCCTCAATTTTCAAAGAAATTCATTGAATACCGGACCATACCTAGACCAAATATGCTCGTTGACCTTCACCTTACTTTGTCGGTTTTCTCCAGTCACAATGCCGGCTCCAGATATTAGATCAAGACATTGCCAACAACTCTATTACTTTAATTCGTGTACGGTATTAAACGTCACTTGTAGTCCCTCAAATAAGGTGAACGCACTAGTTTCCCCTCTTTTACTTCTCTTGTTGGGCGGTGGAGTAGCCTAGTGGCTAAAGCGTTCGCTCGTCACGCAGAAGACACGGGTTCGATTCCCCACATGGGTACAATGTGCGCAGCCCATTTCTGGGGTCCCCCGTCGTGATATTGCTGGGATATTGCTAAAAGCGGAGTAAAACAACACTCACTCACTCTTTTACCCCTTCTCTTGACCTTATCCTGTTGTCTGAGGCCACATCAGACACATATTCAAGAGGTGTTCACGGTCCATACTTAAGCATTCGTTTTTGTGAATACCAATCCTATTTCTTGTTGAATTGTGAAAAATAGGTTTGTACTTTCTGAAATAATAGGATTGTAGTGTATGATGGTGATATACTACAGCATTCAGTGTGTATGGGTTGTATACTTGACAATAGTCGCGGTGGGGTAGCCTAATGGTGGTACAGTACAACATTCAGTGTATATGGGTTGTATACTTGACAATAGTCGCGCTGGGGTAACCTAATGGTGATGCAGTACAACATTCAGTGTGTATGGGTTGTATACTTGACAATAGTCGCGGTGGGGTAGCGTAATGGTGATGCAGTACAACAATGGGTTGTATATACTTGACAATAGTCGCGGTGGGGTAGCCTAATGGTGGTTGTATACTTGACAATAGTCGCGGTGGGGTAGCCTAATGGTGATGCAGTACAACATTCAGTGTGTATGGGTTGTATACTTGACAATAGTCGCGGTGGGTAGCCTAATGGTGGTACACTACAGCATTCAGTGTGAATGGGTTGTATACTTGACAATAGTCGCGGTGGGGTAGCCTAATGGTGATGCAGTACAACATTCAGTGTGTATGGGTTGTATACTTGACAATAGTCGCGGTGGGGTAGCCTAATGGTGGTACACTACAGCATTCAGTGTGAATGGGTTGTATACTTGACAATAGTCGCGGTGGGGTAGCCTAATGGTGGTTCACTACAGCATTCAGTGTATATGGGTTGTATACTTGACAATAGTCGCGGTGGGGTGGGGTGATGCTATTCATGGTACATACTTGACATTCGAGGTGTGTATGGGTTGTATACTTGACAATAGTCGCGGTGGGGTAGCCTAATGGTGGTACACTACAGCATTCAGTGTGAATGGGTTGTATACTTGACAATAGTCGCGCTGGGGTAACCTAATGGTGAAAGAGTACAGCATTCAGTGTATATGGGTTGTATACTTGACAACAGTCGCGGTGGGGTAGCCTAATGGTGGTTCACTACAGCATTCAGTGTGAATGGTGGGTGTATTCAGCATTCACAGTATGGGTTGTATACTTGACAATAGTCGCGGTGGGGTAGCCTAGTGGTGAAAGTGTTCGCTCGTCACGTCGAAGGCTGGGTTCAATTCCACACATGGGCACAATGTATGAAGACCATTTCTGGTGTCTCCCGCCGTCATATTACTGGAAAGCGGCGTAAAACCATACTCACTCACTGACATTAACTACTGCTGGCTGTTTTAAATATATCAATAAGCTGAAACATGTATTCTCATTTGACTGCTCATGCTGTTGGTCACTGGATTGTCTGGTCCAGTACAGACCTCCGCCATATAGCTGTGATCGTGGGTTTGAATCCCGGTTTGTATTTCAAGGTTTGTCAGCCCTTGATTGTGAGATTCGTCGTCATTGTCGCTCTTGTATTGGTCGTCACGTCAGAGGTTGACCTAGTGCTGGCCAGCGTATCATTTTGTCTCCTTTCGCGAATGAATTACGTTTTTGGCTCAACTCTGGCCATATTTGATTCCCTGCTGAAGTCAAGAAGGGCGAGAAATAAGCTGAATTTGAAATATCCTCCAATCTGGAATGTCCCGGAGGATATTTTATGTGCGCTTTATGTTGGTGATAGTTCCGTCAGAGATATTGTGATCAGAACAGTATATACTGTATTCAAGACATAGTAACAAGCATGAAATATGACTTGAACATTGCTCTGTATGTATTTCATAGCATACATCGTAGTGTTATATTCAACATAGCTAACCCCGAAAAACATTCTCACAATATTAAATACTTAAAGTGACTGGTTCTATTTTTTCCCCACATGGGTACGATGTGTGAAACCCATTTCTGGCGTCCCCCGCCGTGATGTTGCTGAAATATTGCTAAAGGCGGCGTAAAACCATACTCACTCACCCTGTTTTTAACTTAGGTTTAGGCTTACTTGATACAGTCATCAGTTTTAAACAAACATGTCAGTAATCAAGAAGTGTGGAGCTGGTACGATATGTCTAACCTCAGGAGGAAAGAACTGTTGTGTATGTATCTGGTATGCTTAAAAGTAAAAGTTACCAACTTCAAGTGAAATGTACTGACAAACATTGAAGACAGAAATACCCGAAATGATGCAAGTCTGAAATATGTTTCGTGGCGATTTCAAAATTGAAAAGCAGAGTGTTTGCCTCTCTCTCAGGAAGTGGACGTTCCACAGGTAACCAGAAACTTTCATAGGCTCGACCCGGTTCTCATATCGCAAGATCACAACGCACGAAGAGAAACAGCCCAGGGCCCCGTTCCTCAAAGCGATCGTAGCGCTACGACAGTCGTAGGTCTATGTTAAAGTATGGGAGTTACGATCATCTAAGAGAAACGATCGTGTTGAGGAACGAGGCCCTGATAGCATTCCAACATTAGCCCAACGTTGGCAATGATTGGCATGGTTGGCAATAACTTGTAGCCTGGATCTAAGTTCTACAGTCCGGAGATCAACGGCTATCCATCCATCCCCCCAACATCACTACTGAACGATCTCGATAGTGGCATGTGTTAATGAAATTTGCTTCTTTTTATGTTTTAAAAAATCCATAATTTTCATCTTTGTTTTTGATTTTGACAACGGTAACATCACAAACACTATATTCAGAGCAAGGCTTTCTAAAACTCTGAGCAGTCCGTGTTCTGTATTATAGCACCGAAGATTGGACGTGTGGGTTTTTTTGGTTTTATTAAAGGGTTTTATGCTATAATCTATTGAAATTTTATACATACATTACATACATACATACATACATACATACATACATGAAGAAGAATACTTAGCTGTACAAAAAAATGGTGAAGGTCGTTCATGACGGCGGCATATAGTTGTGACCAGTCGCTAATACAGTGCAAACATAACTCTTGCTTAAAATAAGATCTTTCTGTCTAAAAAGAACAAAGAACAAAAAACGGGCAGTTTTCACGGGTGATCACCTAATCAATATCAGTTTCTGATACCTGACGGAATCGATTCGTCGTCTGCTTTGTTGTGATCGATAGATCGAAATCCCTGGTTGGTACCTTTCACTCGTGCCTCATAATCCGTACCTTCAAATTGAACGAAATACTCTGTTTCATGTTTTCCAAAGTCAATTACTGCAGTAACGACTCCTGAACAACTGTCACCAATTCTTACAAAATCACCAATTTTGATAATGGGGGCAGTCATGTTTGTTTACAAAACTCGCCCACGCAATGGAAAAAAACCCTGCAAACTCGCTACGACGTCATCAATGAAATGTTAAAACGTTTTAGGATTCGCATGGCGTGTATGGAGTTTTGTGAAAATAGTTTGCGTAGTGACATAATTTGCATTTTTATCAGATTTGCATGCCAAGTTTATCAGATTGCTTTATTGCACACTCCATTACATGACAAATATAGGTACGGAGCTTACTTCTACTAGTAATATCATTATCTTGCAATATAAGTTCTTGACAGTTTTTAAAATAGTTGTTCATTAGGGAATATTGCATATTAGTACAGATCAATTTATATAATCTATATATGTCCACATGTGCACACATCACTTTTGCCAAGCAACCATTGTTTTTTGTGTTTCGTCGTTTGTGACAAATAAAACAATTAAACAATAAAAAGTGACGTCAATGAAGTGAGTCGTCACACTAGCTTACCGTGTTTTACTGCACAAATGTACATGAATAAAATATATAACAAAGAAATTATTACACACTAGCAAGTGTGTCATGGCTTGTACGAAACTCGTACAAAATTTACACTCGTTTCATATAAGTCGTATGACACACTTGCTCGTGTAATAATATCTATTTACGTAGAGCGTATTCATGCTACGTAAACCATTATAAAACTGTGCAGGTTCCAACTATATCGTGGAAACATCATGATTTTAACCATGTGGAGAAGATGTAAGTTTCTACGTCACATCCAGGAAAAGTAACGGGATTTTGTGCATGATTACCTAGGAATGTGAAGAAATATTTAACACTAAAGTACAGATTGTTATACTTTCTTGTCAACGGAAATGTTTATATCAGAGCTATGTATCATTTTCTGTTACATTTGATTGAAGACGTTACAACGAAACATCATAAGTCTAAAATAAGCCTTTTGAATATAATTAGGGACCGTTCATAAATTATGGCTCTGTGTGTGTGCGTGCGTGTGTGCGTGCGTGTGTGTGTGTGTGTGAGAGAGAGATATTATAGTGGGGTGAGTGGGGTGTGATCACCGATTCTGTTGGGGGGGGGGGAGTCGTGACAGGCAAGGTGGGTCACTTACTTTGTACATATTTTCTTTTTCTTTTTGTTTTCTTTTTTTGGGTGGGGGTAGGGGGAATTCATTCACATCTTACATGTTTTCCCATTTTTAAAAATATAATCGTCACCCC